GAAGAATTTGTAAATCTTATATAAACTATCGTATAAAATGTTATAAAATTTGTATAACAAAGGGATGAACCAATGATGTTTTACAACTTCGTTCGTTACAATTGTTTTTTATTGAATTACTTTGCCCAGTGTCTGAGAACTGAAAATGGAAAAGATTTTTTATTAACTATTACGTAATTATTAGGCTGTAGTTGTTTATATTTTTTTTATCAACCGCGATTAGTAAGTTAAGTATGATCTACAACGTTTATTGCGCTACTCAGAAAATCATAGCATCATTGTGCTTGTCTGTCTCTTTTGATCATTGAATTGTTATTCCGATTGTTTAACTATTCTACGTATGTAAACAATGTCGTATCGAAGGAATAGTTTCGAATACTCTCCCAATATCAACTTAAATTAAGCCATGGCAAAGTTATCTGAATAAAATTATGAAGCTTTACGTGTCGCAACCCTCAACTAGATGTTTCCTTAACAAAAGATAACTTTTTTGTACTATCAAGAGCTTTTTCCGAGAAACAAAACGTTCCCCAATCAACAATCTGTTGTTGCAGGGTTTGAATAATTCTTACAATCTGAAAACCCTAAATTTTTATAAAAATAAAATCCATCAGTCGATATCTCGTTTCCCGAAAGCTATTAATCATCACGGTGTATATTTCAATCGGATAAAACTTATTCAAAACTTATTCTTGACAGTTGTATATAATAACGACACATCATTAAAAAGATGGAGAAAAGCAACGTGCAAGAATTTCCATTACGTATCTACCTAAAATTCTTATCGTTCGTTTAATATTAAACCGTCCATTCATATGATAAGTTATATAACTGTTTCCACGCGCGTTTATTAAAACAAATAAACGCTTCCCACCGGCTGATCCCAATCGAGCGTCATGTCCTCGTCGCGAGCTGGATGGAAAAGTTACGCGTAGATCTAACAATGATCCGTCGACGGTAAAAGAAAAAATGTTTAATTAGCGTTCGACAGGACGACTCTCAACGACGCGTTCCACGGACTTGGTGTTGGTCAAGCGTTCCCATGGTTATGATACAAAAAGCAGTTTTCCCATAGCACTGAGTTGGCCTTATCCTGCAATTATTCGCCGTCACGACGGTGCATGCTAACCACGGTCTGATAATTTTCGCGACCTCCGGTCGCACTGCGGATTTTGCATACGTGTGTCGCCTATCAACGAGGATGATCATTCTGACGTTGATCGTTCCGACGACGATCGGCCGAGAACAACCGTGCGCGTCGTCCTTGACGCGATCGTTCGCTCGAGAATCGTTAACGACGTAGCAAAATCGATTTATCGCAAAGATTTCAAGGTTCGACCGAGCACTTCGACGCGTAACACACGGAAAAGTCCTTGGGCGTGTGCAACATTGATCGGGAAATTCTGGGGAAACAGCGTGAAAACAGGAAAAAATGATCACGTAAGAGACAGAATTAGATCCTGAATGGTTTCGTACGCGGCGATCGAACGGATTACTCACCGTTGGGCGTTGGCGATACCTGTGGGAATTTGTTTGAACGATTGATTTCACGAGCATTGTTTTTATTAGCTTGTGGCTAACTAGGTGTGGTGATTATGAAGCGAAATTAGTTGGTACGTCCTGTAGATCAGTTAAGTCTAGAACTATCAGCACTGAATGTATATTAACACTGGAACTACCGACGATAAACGCATATTTGCTTCGATCGGTGGATAAACGTGAAAAACTTTTGGAAATTTAGAAATTTAGAAATTGACTAATTTCTGCACTTTCATATCGTAATAAAAGATGCAAAAGATCTGAGAAAATGTATTGTCATGACATTTTAATCGTCGTTGTAAGAGTGTATTGATAAGTCATTTTGACTTACTTGGTAGTTCTAGTGTTAAATTATTGTATATAATTAGTATACTCAATGTATAGTAGAATTTAATGTAATATAGTGTAACATAAAATGTGTAGGTAATTAAAGGCCAATGTAAATTTCGCCTGAAACACTGTCATAATGTCAGTAATCCTGAAATAAGAAACACGCAATCCGTCATTTTGACGGGTTTGGTAGTTTTAGTGTTAATGCTGATACGATTCTAGTCGTTACAGCTAGTTTGTCGTGAGATTTTTCTGGAACAATACTTCGTATCGAATTTCTGCAGCGTGATTCTGTTGGGTTTAGTAATGTTTGGTACTTATTTTAAGTATACTTTATTGTGTGCTCGTTATATTCATTTCTATTGAAAAGACAATTAATAGTTTCTTACTCTTTAGCGCCCAAGCCCTTAAATCGTTATTTCAAAATTATGAGACTTGTACATGCTTTGTATCTTGTTATTTTGAAGCCGAAAATATCGATATTAAACATACTTATTTTTTCATACTGTTTTTCTCCTTTTTGTTAATTTTTGGAAGGAGTAGTTTAATTTCGTCAACTGAAACCATGGAGATCAACTTCTTCATATCTGTGAAACTACAGATGTTTGCTGACAAAAATTAGATATTAATCGGTATAACAGAATTTGATGCACTTTGAAGATTGGTGCTACGCCGGTGCAACACTGGGAATTAAAGGGTTAAAAATCGGAGCAGAAGTTTTCTCTATGTTAATGACTATCATAATTAAAATAAAGTAGTTATCTTCAACTCTGTATCATATTACGATCTATAAAGCACCTGTTCTTCCAATGGAAAATGGAAAGTACTTTACTTTTCTATGGAACAATTTCGCCAACTAGAAAATTTGACTGCCAAATGCCAAGGTCTTTATCAATATGTTACAAAATATTAGGCCGTCGAATGTATTATTTTTGTTAGAGTAGATTCTATCTGAAATTATGAATTCATCATATCGGATGTACCAATAGGTAATCTATTATTTTTTTAATTATAATTATATATGGCAAAATATTTTAAATAAAAAGGATCTTCTCGATCTTTCGTTGAATAACAATGGTGTAACATGTGGGAAAATCACCATGAATATAAATTAAGCAGTATAGATCCTTGACTTCTATAGAAACGTATAGCGATTTCGCCAAGAAATAGCGGATTAATTTATTGCTACACCTAATGTATCCTCATAACTCGCAAATTAATAACGGATCCCTTAACTTACCTACGATTTATCACCTGCATGTCGAAAGATTCATTTCATTTAATTAAACGAATAAGGCACCCAAAGTGTTCTGAAAGTGCAATAAATTTGCAAGCAGAAAGATTCACTCGTCAAAAAGGAAAGCAGTCGTTAATTAATGAATCACCGAGTCACGTGATCGTTTTCCATACAAACGAAATAATTACTCATCGCATGCACGACGATCAATTACACGTGGTAGATGTTGCACGCGTCTTTTTGCGAATCATCGACAGATTTCGTCATGTGAGGCAATGCACCCGAACTCTCCGAAGACAGCATTTAATTTGTACACCATTCGAAGGACCATGGGTGACCATTACTCGTGGAATAAATCGAGACGAATAATCCATCGACAAGAAAATTAATATCTTTCCTTCATAAACAACCAAATATATTCGATGGTTCGTTGGGCAACCGTCACAATCAATAGCCGCTTCGAGCGTTACACATTGACCGTAATTAATGGCGGACGCATCCTCGGTACCACGCGTGTCGCAACGACGAATATTTTTTTCTTGTTTCGCGATTTCGTCCCGCTGGAATCCACTGTGTAATCTCGCCATTTTGTAACGCGATCTCCTTACCCTCCGTTGCACTTATAACGCAACATTTGACCCTCTTTTTGGTTTCTGTTTCGGTTACGTTACGATACTCGAGGTATGCGAAAATCGTCTGCGTTAAGATCCATTGAACCCTCTGTGTCCATGCATGGATTTGTCCTTCGCATGGCCATTAAACTGTTCACCAGCATTTTAATCAACGGTTGGTAACCCTCCATCGTATTCTTCTTTTATCACAACGAATATCGGATTATGCCCGAGGAGACCTAATTTACAGATAATTGATAAGGTTCATGGATTTATTAACGCTTATCAACTGTGTTTAGACTGTAGGTGGTTGTTAGATGACTATGGAATGTTTGTTGTTCGTGGCTGGTTTGAACTTCATTACGAATATAACATAACGTATATTAAGTAAGTGAAATAATCGAGAAATGAGGTCTTTGATATATTTCTCTAGATTTTTGTTCTCGCAATAGCTACATTTGTACTCACTATACTGCAGTTGATACAAATATATGTATACAACATTTTCTAGCTGTATCAAACAGTTGTCTTAACATAGATCCAAACTGTAACGTGGGGATTCATATGCATCCATTCTAAGTTTAAGACAAAGATTAAACATTTGTCGTCCTCGGGTCTTTTCGCCAGCCATTGATGGCCTACATCAAAACATACTACAATTTGGTGCACTAATAAGTGTTCTACTATATCTATTTAATAAACTGTTAATACAGTTTAAATAGGAATCACATCTCTGCCCATTCCGTCTTTCAAAATGGCGGTGAATATCGAATAACCTGTATAAATTTCGCTGAAAGGAAGATTCTTTGAAATTAAGTACCCTTAATTTGACAAAATATAGTGGAGTTCACGGAAAATAAGCGTGAATTGAGAAACTTTAATAGAACGGTTTCTCTCGAGTAATCCGTTGAACCATCCCCCCGGCGAACAGAATTTGGATGTCAAGGCGTTCGGTTTCGCATGGGCATCTGTGTGCGTAACTTCGACCGTCCCGAAACATGTTACTGCACTGTCTCTCTTTCATAATGACGACGACGCATTGCGTTCGCATAATCTCAGGGTAACAATGCCGGGCGTTGCTATTAGTGTTAACAGAGGAAAGCCAATACGCGAAGGCTGGGAAAAAAAAATTGCTGTCGTGGGGCTGTGGCGCGGATCCGCCTTTCTTATAAAAGGAACCCGGGACCAACGTTAGAAGGACAGTGGTACTACTCCGCGGACAGATCGGAGGAAAATTAGTGCAATTACTCGAGGAACGGACGACTTAGTGTCAGCTGATAGGAGAATGGCTTGCTTGAAACTTGTGAGTAAAGCACGCCGAATCGGAAGGAATGAATATTTATTTTTTTAACCCTTTTGTTGCTACTGTTGCCATATGGCGACGTATTCTGAATTGTGAAATAAAATGTTAGTATCGTGTATTTTTTCATATCTGTGAGTATATAGTAGTTTCGTCTAGTCTTGTTTAGATGGTATGGCTCAATTTTGCATGTGCATTTGAAAGTTTATCGGTGAATTAAGATATTATTTGTCCTTTGTCTCCTTCATGGGGTGGAATTCAGGTTTTGAGCATTGTTACAATAGAAAGTTACAAATCTCTAATTTCTTTCGAATAGGGTTTATTGGTCAGAGGTAAGACAAATTTTGGGTTGTATCATGAATAATAATATTATAATGAGAATTGTTATATATAACTGTGATACAAGTTGTCAAATGGCAACGAATGAAAAATGACATTACACGGTATCGAAATGTTAAAATGTTCTTGTGAATCATTTGTTTGTCGTTTAGTATACACAAGAATACAATAAAACATTTCTTTGGTAAATTTTTAAATAATTGGGGAATGAAAGGGTTAATGGAAGGACTGTCGGAGATGAACGTGTCTCTATAACTATGTATACACGTCGATAAACGGGACCGCTGGTTGAAAATATGCACAGCGAAATATTAACGTATTTTTTCACTTATATATTGTAGTAAACGTTGTAAAGAATTTAAACAAAAAAAATACATTGTTATGACACTATTAATTTTTTTACGAACTAGTCATTTTGATTGCGTTTATGGTTCCAAAGTTAACCACTCAGTGCCCAGTGTTGCACCGGTGCAAATTTTGTCACCGATTGATATCTAAATTTTGTCAGGACGGATTCGTAGTTTCACTCGTGTGAAGTAAAATTTATACAACGTTTTATGAAACTATTTAATGCACTGAGTTGCAGAGAATAGAATATACTGTAACGAATTTGTAGTTTACTGAAAAGATGCAGAGATTTTACATTTGAACGGCTTTTTAAAGTTAATGATTGTTAAAGTGTAGAAGTTTATGCGAGTGTAAATTTTTCTCGATCATTTTTGAAAACTAGTTCTAATATAAAAACTTGTTACCTGTATTAATGATTTTGAAAGGCTGTATAGAAAATGAAATTTTTGATTCACCTTCGTTTATATCCGAGCCCAATTGTATATAATAATGATTTCTAAAATCTATAACACTGGATATGGAACTTATATGGTAAACTGAAAAAGGTTTTACAGATAGTCCTATTAGTGATCAACCTTCGTTAATATTTCTGCCCAATGGCATACGATATAAATGTACAAGATTTGTAAAAATGTGTATGAAACTTATACAGTATCCTGATAGGAAAGCTGTTTACTTAGTTAAATACTTGTAAATTATATACAGTAATATTATAAACATGTAGAATAGTAAAGCTCGCGTGTCCTCCTTACTATCAAAGGAATAGAAAGTCGTAAATTATTATAATGACGATCATTCATAAATTTATGTAACTCAAGACAAATTACTTAATCTATAATCCATCCAATAGATCTTTCAATCGTCCTATATTACATACATGTATATGTATTTCATAACAACTATGCAGTTTAAGAACACATATATTTTTAAAACAATCATTAGTTAATGACTGAATATTAAAACTTTTAATATTGAAAACTTGATTGTCAATACAGGAAAAAATTGAAATGACTGGTATTTCGCTAAATTTGGAATATGGTTCTCGTTCGTATGGTAAAAGATTACGTAAACATTAAATGGAAAATTATGAATTATGCAGGAGAATGTACAATACGCATGATTTTCATACTTATAGCCGATTTATGTAAATTTCGATTTATTTTTCACGTATTTTTTTCCGGTTCGCGCAGTACACAGTCCTGCTGCTGGCTGTCATCGTTGGCATCGTCGCTGCGAAACCAGGATACCTGGGTGGATACGGATACGGCGGATTCGGATATCCTTACGGCGGTTACGGCTACAAATACCCGTTTTACGGATATGGACACGGTTATGGACATGGTTATGGTAAGAACCAAATTCTTAATTGCACAATGAGACTTGAATCACGAGAAGACTGGCTTCAACGTCAATGAATTTTTTGTATACCTTTCCGACATTTCGTAGATCCATTCAATATTCAGCCGTTCGGTCCATATTACATGGATCATTTGAAATTCTTTCTATGTCACACATCATAAATTTCGAGCAGTCAACCCAGTGAGGACCGTAGACGTACCAGTACGTCACATGGTTTATCTGCCATTTTTGGCACTAATAGTTTCATATACTCATGTCTTTTCTCCGTCTTATAGATTGATAGTGTAGAATAATAATTTTACTTCATCGGTTTAATATTTCCCGTTGTTACATTTTGAAATAATCTACTTGTAATTGTTTTAACGAAGCGGCGATACTTACGCAAAACGCTTAAAACCGATTAATCAGAATTATCTGAATGATGATGTTGTTTAACACGTTCTGTGTCACATGTACCCATGGTACACGCGGCCTGAATGGAAAGTTTAATGTGTACCATCGGTGGCACATGTTGCACGAAACGTGTTAATATCGAACTGTAATTTAAAACAAGACCAACAGCCCCTATTAACAAAAGACATACATTTTTGGTAATTTACGACTTGAAGAACGAAATAAAGAGTGTCTGGCTACGTACGGCCTTTTTCACTGTGGCACGGAACGCGTTAATATCGATACGCTCTTGTTACTCATTTGGAAATCGTAAAGTAGACGAAACATTCATAGACGTTGCCCACAATGATCAGTCTCGACGTAAACAAAACATTCATCGACGTTACTTTGACATCCTGATTTGCTTTTCCCCTGTAGGAGGCTACGGACACTACGGTTACGGTCATGGATTCGGCCACTATGGCTATCTCTAATCGAACAGACGACCGTTTGGATTCCGCTGTATACGATTTGGAAAGGAAGTGACGTTAAAGAAACGACCTTAAAGTACAGATTCTATTATCGTGAACGTATTTTACAATATTAGAACGAGACGCTTTGTGTATAAACGCGTCTAGGTTTCCGTTACTCGAAGGCAAATCGGTATCTTTTACTTCTTAGTACATTATACTGCATTTATCCTCTCTCTTTTATAGAAATCTCAGTCATTCGATCGTAGCACTGCTAAACTTAATAATGAGGACAGCTTTGAAATGAACAGACTGAATCGGGCGATATCTTAATTTCTCACTGTCATAAACATTGTGCAAAACGAAAAAAAAAAAAGAAATAATAAAAGGTAACCTTTTAATGGAAGTATCGTGTATGACGTGTTTTATTAGCGAGTCCGATAAACGTTCCACGGATAATAAAACTTCCAGACGGTAAATGAACCTCTGCGTGTGTGGTGGTGGGGCTACTGTAATAATCGACGAACATATCAATTTATTTTAAAATTAGCAATGAAAAACGAAACAGAGATCTTTTATTCATTATTAATGCGGTATCGTCAATATTCAACTGTGACGAATTAATATTTAATTACATCACAATGTTTGTAACATAGAAACTATACAAAAAATCGTGTGTTACATTGGATTTCAAGTAAATAGAATATAACACATTTATCTCCTACATTGGATGTAACATACCTTTCCAGATAGCACATGACGCCTTGAAGACCGTTTAAAGGCGCCTTAGACCTAAAATAGCCGTAAAATGGGCGTCTTCAAGGCGTCATGTGATATCTTGGTTCTATGCCGATGGCGTTTCCCGGTTGGCTTAAAATCTTTTGATATTTATAACGATACGTCTCAAAGACAGTTCTAGGGAGTTAAAACTTACGTATTGTTATTAAATCCTGCATGAAAGAGGTCATTGATTTTAGTTGTTACGATTCAGCACGACATTTGTAGCAGACCTCCAAACGTAATCTCAGTACGTATTGTCAGGTCTCGTGTCTCGAAAGTTGTTTAATCCGAATGTCTGCGACCTCGTCTACATCCGTCGAAAATTTTTTAACCCGTGGGTGTCATTTCGGTATTCACAGGAATCACTAATAACTTGTTACGCGATTCGGCCATTATGCTCACCAAATTCCTTCATTCTCCTGCTAGCAATATCGTCTCGAAATATAGAAAAAAACGTGTTTCGTTATCCTTTAACATTCAAAATATCATGAAATCGGATTGTGATACCCGTCTTTTTTGCAACACTCCTTTTAGATTCCTATTATTCCGTGAACGAACATCTTACTAAACTCTCCAATTTCAGGAGGCAAACATCAGTTTTATCGTTCAGATGGCACGGTACGTCGGTTTGATGCTTAAAGATAATTACGAATTATACATAATTTATCAATATAATTAACCAATTTCTTGTTTTACTTTGCACTATTTCGTTAGATTAAATTTGTTCAGTGAGTCTTTGCTACATATTATCGAATAATCTTCTTTTATTGCGCATAATATCGCATCGGTGCAAAAGTTTCGATGGGTTCTGCTCTAAAGGAGTAGGCTAATAATAATTTTAGTGGAAACGAAATCTCGAACGCAATTTCATTATTCTTGATTTTCGTATCAGTTTGACATGTAAAATCCACGCTGCGAAAATGTCCCACATTTTTATAAACACCCTGTATAGATGCAAGAGTAATTATGACGTCGAACGTCATTGACGATTGGAGTTTAAAGTTAGTCGTGTATTAGTAAAATCTTGCTCCTATCTTTTTCCCATGTAATTGGCCAAAGTCATCGTCACGATTAGCAGTGGGAATACATCCTCGGTTGATCCGTATGTGCAGGTGCACGGGTCAACTGCGAGTTTTCAGGTCGCTCAGACTTTTACTTTGCGCGTAAACCGCAATCGACCGCAAACGGTGTCTTTAACAGCCGGCGCTGCACATTTTGCTTTAAGTATTCCTCCTTCCGTCATGAATGAACATTTATTTGTTTTCCAACGTTAAAATTTTGAGTATATTACGTAACGCATATTTTTAAGAAGCATTAACGTGTATTTAAACTACAAATTTAGCAATCGACACTTAAAACATTTCGTCATTAACCGTGTAGTTTTGTTAATGCAAAAGTAAAATTTATGTTTTCAAATTTTGAAATTTCGAGTACAGAATAAAATGAAGACATTTACCATATTTATCACGTGTCTGGAATGTTATTTATGTAATTCAGGTGTCGCATAACGAAGTTTTGAAATTTTATTTAAATTAGCGTTCAAAATGGTGGCGGATAGACGTAGAATAACATTCGGTTTCTAACGATGTGCTTATCGCGAACCGTCCTTCGGCCGAACTTTTGATCTTCTCGTCGATTAAAAATTCAGGAATACATTACATAATCTTCTGGCCACAATATATATGTATGTATGCGACGATCTCGTGGTATATTATGTGTACTACCTTGTGAAATCGGTTGCGATCGTGAACGCCACTTCGACTTCACCATGATAATGCTGGATGGATGCACTAATGGTACACTAATTCGTCGTAATTGAAATACCAAGGTTATCGTATAATGTAAATGAGCAGAATGAAAAAGTATAGCCGTAAATCGTCAACATCGGTGATTCTCTTAAACACTGTCGTAACTCTCTTAAGGGTAATTCCTAAAAACATCAAATATCTGTCCCTCGACATCGTTTAACGCGCGAAAAAGATTACTGATTCAAGAAATATACAGACAACCGAGTGTTCAGATAACACTCTATCGACTGAACATTGCCTTACTTAAGTGTGTATCCGTCAACATTTACTTCTCCATGCGAATAATATTCGATCTTCGTCGTGCAAGCTTAGAACTCCGTATTCACGATGACAAACTTTTGTCCTGTTGTTATTTTAGTTAGAAACGAACGATATATCATAATCATACTTTATGAAACACTGTCGAGGTCGGATCCCGATTAGGGAAAGGAATTGTATTCATAAATCAGTTCCATCGCGGGCGGAACGTTTTAGAAAGAAAACCAGACGTGAGAGGATGGGTTTTGATCGATATCTACACAGTTTCTAAACCGTGGCCTTCGGTTTAATCGTTTCGGGTTAGTCGATGGACTACCTTTGGAGACTATGGACGATACTTCAAAGGTGTTATCCGACGCGTGAGGAAAAGATCGAAGGTCAAACGAACCGTGATTACGACCTTTTCCGTGGTCGTGGTAGCCCCTTCATTCAGTTGAAAACTAAATACTAAAAGAGAAAGGTTAGGATCATAGGGAAACGAACTTCATTCATACGTTGAAAGAACGATATGCCTGCAGCATCTATATCCTGATGAGTACAGTAATTATTCCATTCTTTCGTTCTTAGACGAACCGTGTTCAGTTTTCACCGATCCTAGTTGAAACAGTTCAATCTATAATATGGTTTTTATATGCTCCGAATTATGTAAGTTTTACCATAAATTACGATTACAAATAATTATTTTCAGATAATAATTATAATGAAACAATTTCGATACAAGGTCATGTACGTCCAAAGCCGGTTTGCACTACTTAAAATATCACGCTTCGTATTTCTGGAGCTTCATTTTACTTTATCGTGGGAATCTGATTACCATAATGGGTAATAACAGTGTATTATACAGTAGATTCGGCTCACAACTTTTATATAACGATGGGAAGCGATAATTAATAGCAATGGAAACGTTTATGAGCATCAGCATTGTTTGCTATTTCACGCAATGTTTAATTTACAACGTCGTCCGAGCTGCAGTCTCCGACCTTTTTTTCTGTAAGTAAGTCGCTGACATTTCGGGAAAAAAAACTAGGAAGATCGAATGAAATTTTATTCGTAATCGCCGTAGGAGAGTTTCGCAATACGGAATATAAATGACGTAATTATAACACGCTTACGAGCAAACGTGGTCAAGGAATTCGTTGAGCTTCCGACAAATTTTTGTGTATCGAGCTTCCAATACAAATTTTTCATGGCAACTGGATTATATACGAGTGTTTTTACAAAAAAACTAGTGTCTCTACATTAAACACCATATAAAGTTTCGATTAATTCTGTGAGTTAAGGAAAATATGAACTTGCCTTTTTACTAGGTCGTCCGGAAAATTCGTGCCGTTTCATGTTCAGTGTCTTCATTATTACTTTCACCGGAGAAATGGAAAATGGTTCGATACGATGAACATACACTGCCTTCGAAATTTATTTCATATGTATGCACTGTGTGAGTTGAGCGTAGAACTTTTGCTTTTTTTCTGAGAAATACAAAAAATACGATCGAGTGCACAGTGTAATTCTATCACGCCATATAGAAATTGCAAAAAAGACTACGCTACATCGATTGGAAAATTTTATAGCGTTCGATCTATTTACCAGACATTACACCGTCAGGGTAAACATTCATTTAGGTTGCCGATGTGATTTAATGCCAGGAAAAGTGTTCAAAACTGTAAAACTCAATAAAAAATATATCAGCGTTTTTTAAAGAGTAGACACATTTTATGTAAATGAAGTAGTAAAATACGTTGATAAATAAGAAATTGTAAAAGGAAGTAGAAACTACATTTGTTCATAAAATAAAATAGCAATTGCAAATTGTAGATTGTAGATTATAATTTTACGTTCTGAAACGGTACTAACTTTCCGGACAACGTAATACGTATCCTATAAAAGTTCCACAGGGTTCTCTCCTTCAACAAAATAAAAACTACCTACGGTAACATTTGTCAAAGCGACAGCATTTATTCTAATTTTTCTATCCTTCTCAAACCTCGTGGTCCTCACCCAAATTTCCTTCAGGCAACATTATTATTCTAAATATTAATTTTCGAACTTCAGACCAAAATATTGGTAATTTACATGTGGACACACGACGATCGAAGAGTTCAAGAAGTAGATTTGCGATATTAAACAATTCTCTTTATATGTAAAAAGTTAAAAGTTATTTTTGATAACTTCAGTGAAATAATGACACGAACAT